GCCCAGCCTCTCTAGATACTCCTTCCTTCATGAAGGACATGGTTATGGTCCAGTTCTACAGCCCAGTGCTGGTGCTTTGGGAACAGTCACTTACTTACTGTACTGCCAGTATTGTTTTGGTGGGTCTGCAAGTCAGATGCAGCCCTGAGGCCTCCTCACTGCTAACACGATCTTCACTTCCGTGGGAACCGCAAATTGCTGGTTTATGTTCTAAATTTTTTGCTTTGCCTGTATTTTTACATAAATTAATTTTATGGACCAAGGCACTCCTTGGTCTTGAGAATGGAACAAATACATAGAAAAGTTATGTTCTCATTTGTCATGCAATGCCTATACACTATCTCCTTTATAGTTTTTGCTACATGGTTTGCAAAGGGCTTTCAAAAGTAAGAAAGTTTCCATACATCTGTCCTGAGTTATCCTGTGTTTTCTGTTCTTTACATCTCTGTATACTCTGCATTAAAAATCCAAACAAACACAAAGAAAACTGTCTAAAAAGATATGGAAAAGCAGCAAAAAGTGCAAGACAATAAAATAAGACCAATTTATAGAAATGGAGAAAGATGCTGCAATAAAATTCAGAACATCAAAAGTGATCTTTGCTATCAGAAAAAAATCTTCCACAACATGCAGATTGGCAAGGACAGTGCATGGTACAAGACAGATATATTTTATACCTCTGTGTACTGAGTACAATACTAGAACTCAGTAGTTTAAAAAGGAGTGACTGATTATCTACTTTTGTTCAGCTCCCTAGAATGATGGTGCAGTACTATATGTATGTGCCATTAGGTTGCAGTAGTTCTTTCAGGATGAAAGACAGTGAGTTTAGGTAAGATTCATAGCACGTAAAGCAAGAAGAAAATACCAAAACCCTCGAAATTTTCAATTTAATTTTGTACCTACATACAGATCAGGTATGGAGGGACACCACACACACTTAAACCAGAATTTAAAAAGCACACTCTGGTCCTGTGCAGTTGGTGTAAGACTTTGCAAATCTCTTATTCAAAAGACATTCATAGAAGCTGCAGCAGCTATTTCCACAATAGTATAAGATTCCTGGCCTTGACTAAAAGGAAAATTTTTTAAAAATTATTTATAAAATTATCTTTTAAAATTATCAAATTTGAAAAGTAACCTTCTAGTTTAAAACTGTACTTATAGTAGCATTTTTCATCTTTCTTCAGAGCAGGAGAGTAACAAACTTGTGTGCATCCAGTTGTGGAGGTTGCACAAGTCACAATCCTTACAAAGTGGTATGCACCTCACAGCTTATGATGCAAACTGGGTTAAAACTACTGCTGCTGTTCATCTGCATACTGTGTTGGATGGTTTCTTTCCTTAACTAACAGCTGGTGCATGTTCCTTTTCTCAAGTCAGCTGTGACAGTGCCAGCCAACCCAACCAATACCAGTTCTAAATATAGTCATGTTTGGAAAAGCCCTGATTATTATTATTACTGTGGTGTGGAATTTACTCATTTAATCAGGGGAGTACCTTTAGACTTGAGACTGTATGTAATAAACTCAAATTTAAGCAGCAATTTACATACTGCAGGTCTCCCTAATCTAAGTATTTCCTTTTAATGATCTCACAAACTTCAACTTACAGTCACACACAGCCTTGCATTCTAAAGCAGATGTCTGGTTTTTGGCTACATCTCCCTATTTTTGATTGGAAATTTAAAGTACCACCCTTTAAGAAGCTCCAAGATATGACACAACTAAACAGAGCATTACCAAATTCTACTGGAAAATTTACCCGTGGATCAAAATTGTATAAACAACTTTCATGAGTTGTAACAGACCAACAAGATATATAGCGGCTTGATTCACTGCCAAATTGTAAAACTAAATTCAATCCTTTGGGCTTGAAATGTCAATCAGGCTTTTGAGCATTTCCCTTTTGTTAATAAATTTGCAGATATGTTATACTTTTGTTTATAAGTGAGGTGCTCTATTTGCACTTGTGCTGCAATTCGCTTCAGCAAATGCATCCTATTTAAAAAAAGAAAATACACAGCCATCGCATCTTCATTCAGTCTTCCGTACAAAACTGTTGAGATTCACAACTGTGTTCACTTTGCTTTCTGCTCTGACAACTGCAGACACCACTTCAAACTGATTTTTTAAAATAAAACATCATAAAACAAAGAGAACGTAAATTTAGCATCACTTACCTTTATTTGCTTGTAACCTTATGTTTTGTTTAAACTTTCATCATAGTTATCAAACACCTCATTCTTCAAACATAAGCATGCTAAATGTATTAGTACAGAGAACAGAATTACTTTGGTACTATCAACTCTATCAGAGAAAGAAGAATTCACAAGGCATGCTTAGCATCTTTGTTATACAGGTGCCACAGATTCTTAAGTATCATCACGAGTTAATGGATTTATTCTATGCTTTCCTTTCAAGAAAGAATTTAGTTCTCAGCAGAAAGTTTAGTTTTCAGAAAACCAAGGCTAGAAAGCCAAATCTGTTGTTAATTGCAGGAGCCACTTTTTTTTAAATATAAATAAATCCTACCTTTTGATAAACCTGAATGACATGTTTCTAAAAGAAATTAAGCCAAAATAATAATTAACAAAAAGTTTTGTACAAAATAAATTGAAAAAGCCATTTTGAGTGAAACATGCAAAAAGACCTCATTTAAAATGCACAATGAAATTACACTTCAATACATTCTGAGATTAGGCAGATGCTTTAGGGTCTGAAGACTCAAACTCTTAGTGTTGCTACTTCCAAACAATTTTTCTGGGAAATATGCCACCAGTAGTTATTATGAATTAAAATATGTACTGGTGTCAAAACACTTGAAAACTCATAATCCACAAGGTCATATAAAAATACATTTGGATTTTCTTCATGTATCTCAAGCAGAAAACAAAAATCAGTAACTCTACTATAATCAGATCTTAAGTATCTTCAGAGTTAGGTTTCTTCCATCCTTCATACCACTAGGTCAGCCATGTTGTGCCAAAAACTGCCTTAAATATTTAGTTAATTCAGTGGCAGGAGCTGTAACCATTGCCTACACCAGAACGTAATTAATAATCAAAAGGATTCTGATCCCCTATAGAGAATGCTAGAATGAATTAACAGGTTTTAAAGTTTTTTTAATTTTATTTAGAGAGAAGAGATATAACTGTGTCCTTTGATTGGACTATCCCCCTCCTTACTAGTCTGTGCAGCACCTAGTACAACAGAGCCCCAACCATAAGAGGTCCTCCAAGAGCAAACTTAACCATCTGCAACAGCGCTATTGTGTTACAACTGCACGTTATTTAATCATGTCCAGATGGAATTTAAACTATTATCAAAAACAGTGGGGAAAAACTTTAAGAAAACCACACTGCACTGTGAAAGCTGAAACTTGGAGGTAATGACAGAAGTTTGAATGCTGCCTAAACAACTGAGTGACACACAATGCTAAATAGTATGTTCCAGCAGCACAAGTGAAAAGCTTGCATGTTCACAGTTTGAGCATTCACATTTGGAACATCAGATGGAAAATTAAGTAAGGATATTACAAGCAAAAGTACAGAAAGAAAGATGTGCCAAAAGGATGTCTTTGATTAAGACTTCACTTGACAAAAAGCAAATGACTTAATTCTTTAAAAAAAAAATAAAAATCCAAATGAATCTTTTCTCTTTCTCAACAGAAAAAAAGAGGAAAAAACCAACCCAGGGAAGTGTTAGCTGGCAGAGTTGAGGGGTAAAGCATTCACCAAAGGCTGGGCTGTCACGTTTTCGTTTTTCACAGAAACAACTTCTACATTTTTAAAGACATTTAAATTGAAATCAGCCAGTTGTGAAAAAAATGGAGTTTAATTTAGCATTATTTTGTAGGAATAGGAGACTATGAAGAGGATGCTGAAAGGGAGACATGTACAGTCACAGAACAGACAGGAAGGAAATAGCTTGGTGCTGATGTGATATAAGCCTAAACCAAAAGCAAGCAGGCCAAGATCAGAATGATCTATTAAAAAAAATTTCACATGATGAAGAGGGTACAAAAGCATGGAGATTATCTTAAGCCAAAGGTAAACAAACCCTTACTTCAGCAAACACAAGCTGCTGATAGCAGTGGTCTAAAGTATGTGGTATGTGAACTGACAGGTTTTAAATATAGAAGGAAAACAGGTGGTTTTCAACTTTAGGGTTTGTAGGAACTTTAAAAACATGCATGGATTTGAAACTATTAAGTCCGATTAGAATAAAAACTGTTAGTGCAGGAACAATACCTGCTTAAGCTAGGCTTTGGTTAGATCAACATACATTCAACACCAAAACCAGAAGTGGCATAGGAACTAAAGGTCAAAACAGGAGTAAGGTTTTCAAGGTTTGACCAGACTCCTGCCTAGACTGAAGCCATAGTACTGCCATTATTTTGAGATGACCTATGCTAGCACTACTGCCAAAAGAAGCTTTTGTCTCCTGCCTCTACCCTTTCACCTGTGATATTTCTACTCGTGTGTTGCCAGCAAGATTATTCTGGAAATATTAAGTCTAAGTGATTGGGAAACACAACCCAAGGTTCTAATGCTACATTAAATATCAAGACTGGGAACCCAGTTTATGCCTTCCACTGACAGACCATGCAGTCAGTGTGAGCAGCTTTTGAACTGAGCTGAAATGCTTCAGTTCTGCAGCATCTGTACCTCAGACATGGGGATGAAGAGCACAGCAGAAAAAGCACAGACCAAACCATCTCACTTTTTATCCCATTTGCTTCAACTGCTAAAAACAAATGGCTTCTGTAACCAAAAAGAACTAAAAAAAATCATATGCCAGTGCATTTTAAGTTGCAAAAATTGTTAAGCCATTAATCTGAGCATGTGAACAAAAAAACCCAAGCAATGAACTACTAGGCATGTCTACTACCCAATAAAAAAAAAAAAAAAAAAGAAATGTTGCATTACCATTTTAAGAGGCTTACCTTCTTGTTAGTTTTGATGTTAGTTTACTAAATAGATTAGTGGAGCCCCTCGTTCGGGTCTGTGAGAGTGGTGTTGCTTCATGGGACAGACTAGGAGAGGCTGGCGGTCCATTGTAGGTAGCGGTACGTCGCTCTCTGAGCTGGCCATGGAAAGTGCTCCGACTAGCTGTTCCTCTGGGGAAACGAATACGATCAGGTGTGGTTGCACTGCTAATGCTGTGAGTTGAAGCAACAGGAGTTCTTTGATCGGGAATAGTGCTAGAGCAGAAAACAAAAAACAATGCTAGAACTTCTTTACAGAAGCACTACGGTTCTGCAGGAAACACAAAACACTACGTTCTACAGTAAAGCAAAAGCAGACACTTTTTTATAGGCCAAGGTTGGAAATATCAACATTATTACAGCACTGTATGGAATCAAAACTTGTAAGAAGTTAGGATTAAAAGGCTGCCGAAACAGAAACCTACAGAAGCAGAAAAATGCAACAGGAGTATCCTGGAAAAGACCAGTTGAACTAGGCATACAATGTTTCACTGAGAAGTCCGGTAAAAGAATAGATGAGCCAAGTTTCCTCCCAGGAAAGAGAAGCAATAGGTAACTTTAGTGTCTCTTCCTCCACATTCTATATATATATATATATATCTTTGAAAATCTTGCTAATTTGAAAGTATCCTACAAGTTCTCTACAAGTGAACCACTCCAAGTAGTGAAGTCCTTCAGGATACACAGTTAAAGTCTCCCACAAACTTTGACAATAGGAAATGTCCAATACTCCTAACACTAGGAAAAAAATTAAGGTTGATTACTGCAGGATTATGTCACAGACAGCCTGACACACCACAAGACAAATGTAAACAAGACTAAAAAAAATAATGAGGAAACACACATCTTGTGGGCAATATAAACTAGAACAATCTAGGACTAAAATTCCACAGCACAAAGTTAAGAAGCAGTGGGTATAAGTTAGTTTCACAACGATTTCAGGTTCTTACATAGGCCTGAAGTTATCTGCGCCATTGTCTATTGGAGGCAACATCATCTTCGTGTGCACAGAGGCTGACATGGACATCGACTTCTGATGTCGCAGCCGAACACTGGAGAAGGATGTAGTGCAAACTGAAGCAGGGCTAGCTGCGTAAGCGAACATTTCTGTCAGGCTGTGAGGGGGTTTGGGTTCAGGCAGAGGCAGAAAGAAGAGCATGATGGACCAACAACAAACTACTGCATAGAAAAAAAAGCAAACTTTTCCTTCTATTAACCGATTTAGCAAAGAACATGAACTCTAACAGCCTTCTTCTGTGTAAACAGCAGTAACTAACCTACACTCCCCTTGAAAAGCAGCCTTACTATAGCACTTGACATCTATGAAGTGATCATTCTCTTACCATTAGCATTAGTTTGCAGTGACACCCTCCCTGACATACAGAACCTGAATATCTCATTGCTCTGTGCTGAAGTACTAGTATAAAGCACTGATGTAACTCGTACTGGTCTTAATATATTAAAAAAAAAAAAGCATTAAAACTACCACCAACTGCACTTTCCAAAAGACTGATGATAGCTCCACTACTGCAGTGAAATACTTCATTTTCAGAATGCATCCATGTTAAATCAATATAAGTTGGGCAAGCTGCCAAATCTTGATCTACATCTGATAACTGAGGGACTTCACAGGCACAATTGAAAACTAAAATATAGTAATTTTTAACAAGTCCAGAGAGGCCCAAAGAAAAAAGGCTGCTATTAATTAACCTGTACATGTAAGAGGCAATGAATAACGATGTCTTCTGAAGGAAGAGGTATGACTGTTGAAGAGCATCTCATATCGCTTGTCCACAAACTCCAAATTTACCATTCAGGCTTTGAAGTAAGGTCTACAGTGCTGTCTGAGGAGAACGGCCAGTAAGCTGCCAGCTGCATGATGTGTTAAAATAGGAGCATGACACCTTTTCTTTCTTTGGGCCAAAATACTCTTTGCAGCCTTTTTACAGTATCTAGTAATGATAATGATGGGAGAAAACTGAAAGGCCACAAGATGTATTGGGCCTTTCAGGCTATCACGCCATATTTAATTCATCTTAAGTTTGCTTTAAAAGTTATGGCAATTGTAATTCAGAAATAACATTGGAGCTTAAGAAATCAGTAACTGTCAGTGACAGTTTCATGACACTGCATGTTCACTTTCGAGTTACATCAGGGTTACACAAACTGAAATTCAAGTCCTGTTACCTCATTCTGGTATGTCAGACTGGAAAGGAGAATGCTAGTCCAGCTACAAGTATCAGCTGACCCACTTCTCACGCTTAGCTCTCAAAGCACTAGTAGAGAACACCTCACAACTCACACTTCAGAACTGCTGGCAAACATGTTTATCAAAATCTACTTTTTGTTTTAACTTTTCAGAATCTAGGAAACTTCATCTGAGTCATGCACACATCTCTTCACACCGCTGAATCCAGCAGGATCCCAACTACAACCACTACTACAACAAAGCCTGCAACACAGCCCAGCTTTTACATTACGGTATTAAGAAACTGTAAGAAAATGAACATTCATCTCAAAAGCAGTACCCCAAAGTCAAGTAATCCCCAAATAACTGGTCACTAGCTGCTCAAGCACTTCTAGCTCCTTTCCTCTCAATTTGTTGCAAAAGATAAAGGAGAAATAATCTAGTTTTACAATACATTAGACCCAAGTTTTATTTAGTGATCTGCCTCCAAAATGTGACAGCTAAAGGTATCAATAAGGTACCAGAGCACATATTAAAGCATTCATATTTCTTCCTCTGAAGCTTTGCTAGAAATCAGCTTCCTTGGATTACTAGCCTGGGAACACAGAAAAAGCAAACTAACATTCACCAATTAGTGCCAAGGCTTATTAAAAATCTGAAGCTGTTGTAAATCAATTGTGTTACAAATGATTTAAAGCAATTGCCTATCATTATGAAGAGTGTTTCATGAGTCCCCAAGTGCATTAATTAATGCCCAGACTTTGGAGGAAAGCCAACAGAGTCATCTCCAGCAGAATGCCTGTGTCAGACACACAACGTGTTAAAGTAGGGAAACAAGACTCAAAAACCCTTTGCTTCTACAGTCTGGCATGAGGTCTTCAAGACTACTTTCTCCAACGTCAAGCTGACTAGCTGACTATCGATTGTTCAGAGTTCCCACACTTTCAGAAACACTGCTTTCTCAGAACTCAATGTGCAAGACAAAAACAGAACAGGCAACATTTTAACACTTTCTCTACAGAAAGAATAGAGACTTTAAATGTGTGCATCTTGCCTTTCAAGGCAAGACTCTCAAGTTTTCACTGGGTCACAACCAGTATCTGACTGGCTATGGAAAACTTAAAATTCAATCTGTAATAAATCATTTATAGTAGTTGCTCCTGCCTTTAACATTTACTATCAACAGACAATTCAAAAGCACAGAAAGCATTTTTAACAAGACCTTGGATTTATACAAAGCTCAGGTTCTACTTGAGATCCTGCTTCACAGAAGAAAAACCATTACAAGTTTCTAAATTTACTTTCTGACAAGTTGATAGTACAGTAATATTAGAGATACTACAAACACTTAAACGCAGGAAGAATTCATTCTGAAGAGCCAGTCCCATCAATAGCCATGTGTATTTAGCCTGCATCAAAGGTCCCTGCATTTCATGTGATCAATCAAGCCTTTGTACAGTTACAGCAACAAAACATATTCAGCTATAAATTCTGAATTCTGTGCCAAACCTTTTCTTGTTTTAACCCTCTACAAAGAGTAAACAAAGTAGTAATCAAAAATATGCAATAAAAGTGATAAAGATTTTTTTTTTCCTGACAGTGAAAATATGAATGCTCATATATTTCAAATGACCCAAACAGGGCTAAGGTTTGCAGGATAAGCAAATGATGCTTGGATACCATATTGACAATAAAAGGTAAATTACATAAGGATAATCAGTTATGGATCTAAAATAGAATTAATATAGTTGCCAAGTACTACTCAATGTTAACTTTGAGCTTAATGCCCATATGTGACATACCAGAAAAACAGCACTTTGCTGAGAAGCTCAAAGCTGGGAAACAAATAAGTAACAGCTTCAAAAAGACAGCTCCAATATGAAGCTGTCAGTATGTGAACAATATGAAGTTACTCCTGAATTAAGGGGACATCTGAATCGCAAGCATTCCTAGTAAACAGTATCTAATAACTTTAAAAAATGTAATAAAGAAATCGTAGACAAGATATTGCAAAGATATTAAAGATGAAAAAAAAAGTTATTAAACCAAGAAATCAGGTAATCAAATCTAATCAAAACTATTATGGAGAGAGAGAGACAGATTCATTTTTCAAAGAGAGTTTGGAAAGAAAAAAAAGTTATTTACCTATCAAATCAAAGAAAGGATGGTGAGCTTTAATCTAAACAAACTTGGTGACATTAACAAGGACTAATCAATGATGGCTGAGACAGACACACTAAGAGACAGTACCAAAGAGCTGTGCTGTACTTCACAAGACAGTTGACTGCAGGCCCACGTTGGCACTCTTCAAACTTATACTTGACTTTTTCCTTAATCACTTTCAGTTTGCAGAAAGGGAGGAGGAAGAGACAGAGTCAAAATTATGTTCTTTATCCCTAGGCTGCAGGGGTCAAACAAGGGACAGACAGACTTTCCACTGAACATTCTAACTTTGCCCCTCTTCCTTAGAAAGTGCTGAAAGGAAGGGGAAAAATTTTATGCAAAAAATGGCAGAACTTTCACCAACTTCAACACAAGCTAGAAGAAAAGTATTTTTTCCCCACTCTTTACAATGTATCATAAAATCAGGAACAGCTGGAGAAAATTGGGAAAAGTAGCAGAGGTACACATTCCTCCAAGCTTAAGTATTTTTATTAAGTTAGCTTTATTAATTTTATTAAGTATCTGGGCACTCTCCTGGCAATGGTCAACTACTTAACTGTTACCAGCTTTTGAGACTGGTAAAATTCTGTGAAGAACAGTTGGTTGGAACTTAAAACACCTCAGCCAGCTAAGAAATTTGGTGGTAATTTGCACAAGTATTATTCTATCCCTAATGTCTATGTTCACTGTTAAATTTATTTTCTACTGCTCTCCTCAGTCTTCGGTACACAGGGAAGGATGGCACTAGATGTGGCTACGGTGCTAATACATGAACTGGTCAACTCCAATTCCACTGCATGCTCTAGTCAGGCTTTCATTCAGTAAAGGAAAAGGAAATTTATTTCTCTGCCGGTTTTCATCTGGAATATGGAGATATCAGTGCTTGTCTTCTCCAGATGAGTTCTGTAAATCCTAGGAAGCAATTAGACTACAAGGATATCAGTAAAAGAACATTGTTTGAGACAATGGCCTATCACTGTTTTATCTTTGCTCAGAAAAAAACTGACTTTCTCCCTGAGACTTTGCAGAAAAAACAGTATTCCAAATAACCCTAAAGTGTAGTTTAGAGTGCAATGTAAAAAGAGAGTGGCCCCAGAGAGGTGGACTTTGTAGTCTGACACTAAACAAGCTTCTTCTGCAAGCATATGTTGTTTGGCCACAGGAGCTACCAACTGATTTAAGATGAAGGCTTTACAAATGACATGTATTTAGCCAGAAATTAGGATCTTCCTTTTTGCATTCCAAGACTGTACGAATTAAGCATAGAAAAAAACCAAAGCAAACCCACATACTTACAGGTACGCCAAAACCAAATATCTGTACTCACCTTTCATTAAGAATTACACTAGAATATTACTGATTTTTAAATTAGGTATTACAATTTTTTGGAAATGTGAAGACAAGGGACATACACCACAGGAAGACATTTCATATACCTGTTCTCCTTGCCATTTTGTATCACTGAATGTCTATCAGCAGTGGTTCTTTCACTACAAACATATGTGTTGCGCCGTGTCATTGCTCCAGGGGCAGTATTATTCTACAATTAAAAAACACAGGTTTGTTATTCCCCACAAAAGGCTTTTCTGGGTTAAGTCTACATATAATTGAAGGCTGTTTTACTTCATGCTAGTTCTACACAGTTATAAAACTTACTTAATACACCTTCCAGTATTTTTAAGGAATAATGCAGTCAGAAAAAGTAATTCTAACAAGTCGTTCTTTTATTTCATGTTGATGGCTCAAAATCGATATCTCTTAAAAGTTTTTAATTACCAATGTTCTGAATACAAATTCTCAGCATGTATAGCATTCATCTACATCTGGATAGCCTATGTCTTTATAGCCTATTTTTGAAATACTTTACCACTTGTAGACTGTAGAATTTTCCTATAAGTTAAAATCATATCCTTAAACAAGATAGGAAAAGCAAAGACTTAAGAAACAAATGTGGTAAAATTCAGTGGGAAGGTAAACATGGACTTTTAAATATTAAAATACTATAAAACACTAGACAAGTTTTAAAAACAGGGAAGAATAAGTCAAATTAAAGAGACAAATTGGAGAGAATTTTAATAAGACATTTTTTTAAAAATACACATTTAAATACAAGCATAATACATTGAGGACAAGAGAACCAGGGGAACTTAAACTACAGACCTTACTTTAGAGGGGAGAAAAGAAACAGAATTACTTTGCCTCTGTCTTTACAGAGAAAGAGGGTGGAGATATGCCCAAGTTGGCGGTCAATTTTCCAGGAACGACTGAGAAGCTAGGTAATTCACAGATAACAGAATTATAAAAAGTTAGATGCAATTACTGTAGGAAAAGCATGGTGGTCCAGATAAACATGCACCCCCAGGTTGTAGAGGAAGCAAAAGCTGACAAGCCTTATATTTTTTCTCCCCACCCCAAGAACATAACACAGGAAACTGCATATGGTTGGAAAGTGGAAAAAAAACACCTTTAAAAATTTTTCTTTAAAGAAAAGGATCACAGGGCAAAGCAGGAAGCAAAATAGGCTATTAACTTCAAACATCACTGCTGGGGAAAGTCTTGGAGGAGGCTTGCTTAAGGGAATGACTGGTCAGCACCTCCATGGATAAGCACATGTTGAGTAAGGATGGCCACTAAGAGTCAGGCAGGGGACTTCATGCTCAACTAACCTTTTGGAGTTCTTTGAAGAATTACTGCTATGATAGACAAGGGAAATTCAGCGGATTTTTTAAAAAGCATTAAGAAAAGGTTTCACATAAACGGTTACAGTAGAGAATCATGGGAAGAGGGTAAAAAAATAAGAAAGGAAAAAATAGTTCAAGCACAAAAGGAGAGTAGCCAAACCTTTTTTGCTTCCGAACCTGAAATAAAACTGTTAAAGTGGAGTATTCTCAATAACCAACAAAAGCTCCTTCAGTGCCTTAAGGCAAAGTATTGGCTGTACAGGGAGTCTCAAGCAGTGGAATCCCTGAGCTGCACATTTAACACTGAAGCTATCTTGTCTAAAAGACTGCTGACCTGTTATACATCTTTGGGTGAAATGTATAAATCAAAATAAAAAAGTCAACTAAAAAGTATAAAGAGATTAGCAGAACTATTCACTCATAAAATGTATGTACTTGTCCCAGGTATTCTTCACTGGATATTCCTTAGGAATAGGCTCATGCCAAGCATCAGCAGAAGTCCCCCCAGTCCCTTTCCTTGCACTTTATTCCTCACATACCCCTCTTCTTCAAATCTGTGTTTTGTTTTTTTTTAAAATATCAATTCTTCTACTTTCCTATGACATTCGCCATTGTGCATACTCCCCTCTCTTTACTAGATCTGCTAGCAATGAAAGCTGTGCACCTAAGGTGAAGTTTTGCTTATATGTTCATGAAGCCACACCGTGCAAGACACTTTGTGGAGCTCCTGCAAATCAATGGTACACTGAATTATTAAATATTAGTATTTGAATACAATTTTGTTCTGTGTTCCTTGACATATTAGAAAATGAAGCACCTAGAATATCCAACAGTTTTTCTGGTGGAATACAGGCACAATAATGGGTGGCTTCCTTCTTTCCACCTGCTCCCTTAGAATATTAAATATTTGTTTCCCTTGAGAAGATACCACATAACATTAAAATGTATTGTGATGTTGCAAATCTAGAAAGTCAAGACAGCAATCTCTGTGCTGGATCAAACTTTAATCACAGACAATGCACTTTCAGGCTTGGGAGTGCACAAGTTTTGGTATTCATGTCTGAAATCAGAGGACTCCAAAGATGCACTTTCCTAGGTTTTTTGTGTAATGCAAAGACATTTGCATTACACAAAGAAGGATCAGCATACATATTTTCTGCTTATGTCAGATTTCAGAGGAGAGGTCACAAGAGGAGATTTAAGCATTTCAAGCTTTCAAATTTCAGTTTTATCAAGAATACAGGCTTGGTATTGGGGCCTTTACACTTCTTAGTGTATGATCTCCTTTCACAATTCATCAAGGAAGTTCTTCAGCTATGACTATTAATCTCTGGACATGACTATGTTGCACAGGTGCACAGCACAGGAAGCCCAGAACAGGTGTCAACAGCCCCACACTCCCTGATAGAATGACAACCTCTAGGCTTAGGGTTAGCTGTGTAAGTTTATCCTTGGGGTATTGTCTGCCTTCTTTGCAGGAGGTGTTGACATTGCAAAGTACATGCTGAGACTTCTGAGCATATGCACAAGCTCTACTCACAGCACAAAGGATGAATTTGTGGTACAGAATCCTCCTTTTTTCCTAGGGAATCTTGTGCCCAATGCTTAGGCAGGCTGTTTTCACATTAAGGGACACCAAGGCAAGGACTGATGAAAAACTTTCAAAGAATCAGCTTCTGACTTAAAATAATGAACCAATCTATTTACTTAAGAGCACTAATGTGTTTTTTGGTCCTAAATGATTTTCCAAACATGCCATCTATTATTCTCTTCCAGTTTTATTAAAGCTATACTAAGGACTCTGGGGCAGCCTTATTACAAGTCTTGAGGAAAAATCCAAAGCTGTGAGTAATAAACAAGGAGTTATTAAAACAAGGAGTTATTAGTTGCTACTAATTACGCAACCCCTGTAGAAGGTTGTTGTTAATAATCTGGTATTTGTCCAATGAACCTAAAGATTTTTTATGTGCACTTGTTCAGCTTGCAGAACAATTTAGTTTGCAAGACTCTAAATGCTCTGTCAACTTTAGAAGTACAGCTTGGAACCCCCTTACTCCAACCCCAGACTTAGCTATCTGCTCTACAAGCACAACTCTTATCCTTAAGTGCATGCTTGTAAGCTTTGTTATTTAATAAGAGCAGCACACACTGGCTAAGTGTCTCCAGCGAGGACCAGTTTTACTACCTTCACTATATCTGCGAAAGTAATAATTGTTTTTAAACAGTATTTTTCTGTCTCTTCAGTGATTTTCTCATCATATTACTGATTTTAGGACTTAAGTGCTCAGTGAGAACACAAACTCTCTACCTCAAACTTTTTTAAACTTCAGGACAACACGGTAACTCCAACATTTTCTTCCTTCTAGATGCATGCTGATACTGCAAGAAATAAAACTCCCTAATAATTTCCAGGAATTGTGTAAAAAGTCAGTGCTTCTCTCTGTCCTCAACAGCCAGAAAGCAAAACTAACCTCTAGCGGGGGGCAGAAAATAAGAGTTTGCACAGGCTGACGTGAAGAGCTATAAACACAGACAATTTTAAACACAAATTAATTGAGAGACATCACAAGTCTGATTCCATGTTCACCACCTTGCACCACTGCTTGTAAAAAATCAGTTGGATCAGCTGCACACTGAATCAGAAGAGAGAAGTATCCCATGGTTATGTGCTCAAATTTTATTTCAGCTACAATAGTACAAAATTTGAAATAAGACTACTGGAATAAATGCCCAGGATTTGGGAGGGTGTAGAACCGCAGATCAAAATACTAAAGACACGAAGTGTAACACATGTAACTGTGATACAGAGCTCTTGAAGAAGGCACTACACTATGCTGAGCAAAGTCCAATGTAGGACAAAGCTGATTTGACTGTCCTACCATTTTTAGACTCAGTAGTTAAGAACTGTCATGTAAGAACAAGAAAAAAATAATCTGAACAGATTCTGGATTGATCAAAAACCGAGAAGGGAAAAGGCAAGGAGCCACAAAAATCAGAGAAGGGTCCCCCAAAACCATGAGCTCTTGTTCACATTTATGAATAACAGCTGCTGCAGTGTAGAAGACGTATCTTCCCAAGGAATCTCTGACTGAAATCCTGCAGCCAAGTCACTATCAGCCACTGAGCCAACTGACAATACAGAGCCAATAAAGTAAAACAAATCTAATTTTAGTTCTTTTGCTTCAGACTGTCAAAAAGCTGTGAGCTCAGGAAGTTCTGTTCTCATTTTTGGTAAGTAATGGTGCTGAGTATATGACCAAATATGACAGAGCTTTGTGGGATAAGTTTAAAAAAAAAACAACAAACTGCTCCACTGCAAGTTAAATAAAGGACTGTGAAGTTATTTCCTCTGAAGAGAACTAAGTTTTTCAACACAAAACTGCAAAGTTTTAGAAATTAAATCTTACAAGATTCAAGAGCTGTTATATGAAAACAGATATCCAACTTTGCCACAGAGGGAGGTACCACAGTGTATAAAAGTTAAAGTCAAACCAGATAAAGGACTGACTTTCTTTTGGCTCACTGCCTACTGCTCGACCCTGTAAATTCACTAGTTATGCACCTTAAGAGTGTTTTCGTGTTGGAGCTGAGGGGTGGGTGCGTGACGCCCACGAGGACAAAAGCCAGGCACACTGCTTTTAAACACAGGTTGAAATAGAGCTTTGAACAGGTTTTAGAGCTACGTTTTTTTATAATCTCAATATACGTAACTATGACTCGGAATAGCCTGTTTGAGAACAAAGATTAGGTGGTACCTTAAACTTATGAAACTATAAAATAGGATAATAGAAATAGAGATTTCATTCTTCTGTACAAGAGCCCAAAGAAGAGTAGTTGGTGATTATCAGAAATAATTCCTCCGAAATTTCAGGAGACAGCCTTTAAGTTCAGTTTCTTTTTTTTTTTTTAATACCCGAAGTATGTCTGTTCACTAACACCTGCTAGTGTTAATTACCAATACCTACTAATGACTTCAGGAATCTTAACAAGTAACTTGTGTAGTTGACTGATGCAGGGGAGGGGCAGGGGGAGGGGAAAAAAAATAAAAAAGCAAAATATGAGGTACCTATATTGACTCTTGATGAATGAAAAGTAAAACCACCACCACTGATAAATCACAGGTTTAACACTTTAACACTTTTTCACCCCTCAAAAACATTTCATGGTTTTGATAAATAAGCATTTTTACTTACACTAGGAACAGCCGAACTTTTCTTACGTTCAGGAATATCAGCCTTATTGGGATTGCTGGCATTTCCAAGCATTGGACTAGCTGGTGCAATTCCTCTTCCTGCAACAGCACTACTGCTGGATTTTCTTGACTGAATTCCTTCCTCTTTGAGGTCACTGTCTGTAGTACTAGTCTGGCTTCTTTTGGGATATGCCACTACTGAGGGGATGGATGGTCCAGCTTAAAAAACAAACAAAAGAAACAGAAAAAGGATTTTTTTTCTCTCAGAAGTCCAGTACCTATTCTTCCCTACAATGCAAATGTATTCACACATGAGAATAAAAATAATTAACACTGGGAATCAGAGTTGCAAAAAGGTAATTATTTAAATTATTGAAATACACGTTTCAGAAGACAGTAAAATATTGTGAAAACCAAAACACTTTCCAATTTATTTATTTTTTTTCCTCTTTAAGGGTGAGGGGGATGGGAGGAAGGTAATGACAACACACAGACATGACAACCTCAAGCAAGCCTCCCCATTTTGTAATAAAATCTGACAGATTTGATATTCAAGTCAGCTCTAGTAAGTCTTCCCCTTATATGACAATTCAAAAATACAGAACTCTCTTCTGTTTGCTAAGTACAGGAGAATCATAATAATTTTAATTCATTACGCAAAGATATTACTTGATTTCCATGAAACAATTACTAACTTAATGGAGTCTTCTGGTGTCTGACTATTGGCACTGGTTTGGCTTGGTAGGAAAAAACCTTTAGAATCATCTTAAAGACACTTAACAAGTAACTAACTCTCATTCAAATCAGAGGATTCTTCATCGGCACAAAGCTGGCACATGCTGTTCAAGACAATTTCTGATAAAATTGAGCTCCTGAGACAGCTACCTGGCAACACAACCCTGGACCACCACCGGCACTAACGGCTGGCGGACTGTGCTCCTGGAACAGCCCAGAAGCAGTGGCTGTTTGCCACCAGCCTCCTTGGGTGTGCCAGGAACACCTGAGAATGAGGAGGCAGCCCCTTCAACAGTCCCAAGTTCCCTCTTGCTTTAATACGTTCCTGGACACTGGGAAAAGCCTGTGGGGATGTCAGGATTGTGTTTTCTGCCATCTCAATTACACCTACTCAGAAGAGGATACATCAAATCTGTAGTTAGTGTTTTAATAACAATTAATCAAAAAGTCTATGTATATACACACACACAGACATGCAAAAATGCATATTAAAATATATATATATAAAAGCATCACAAAACACAGTAACCATCATCCCAGGAGACTGCCCAAGGAAAGCAACCTCTGAATGCACTTGAGGTATTTAAAAGTAGACCTAAACAGAGACTCCTTTTATGACTTAAGTGTCTGTGCAGGAAGATGTCTAAGATACTTAGAAAACCCTAAGCTACTACCCTGCACACTCATTAAGTAGAAGAGTTCTAAGTTTGTCTGAGTCACTGATCTTTAGAAATTTAATTCCTGCAGGACAATCAAGTAACATTACCCTCAGGAAACAGGAAATATTGGCAAACTGACATTTCTTCAAGTTTTAGACACAAGCTGACCTACTAGTGTCAAAAGAAAACAAAAGCTGAACAGACATAAAAGGGCATGTGGGAGGAGTGCCGTGCTTTTCACCAAAAAGGGGTTGCAACATTCTCTTCAATTTGTGTAACAAGACTTTCCCAGCACAATCAGGAATGCAAGGGGCAACACAAGGCAGAGTAAGAGAATTAAGTTGGTGTATTCAGCATTGCTCTAGAAGCTGTTTTTGGAGGCTTTATAACAGAATCAATTTTTAAAAAATAGCTAAATTGTTTAGCCACAAATGCTGTGAGCTACACTGTAGTCATCCTCCTTACCTTTGGGGGATGGAGACAAATTCAGAAACCAAATGGAATTGGAAGTCACTATATTCTGCAACACTGAAAATAAGAATTGCTCACCGTGATCACTGTACCGCCGCTGTTTCTGGCTAGAAGATATGCTTCTCTGAACTTTGTGATGAGGAGATTGTCCAGTGCTATTATTAAGATCACTACTTGGCCTAACTTTGGCAAGTGAAAGATTGCTGCTGGAGCTTGAATCACTTGCATCCAACTACAATACAAATGAGAATATTAAAACAAGGAGTTCAGACAAAACAAATTAAACATCCACCATATTATGGGAGCAGTAACAGGGAGGCAGAAGGAAGATGACTCTGGTACATAGGACGTTTTGTGACAGCAAGGAAGTTGCTTAGAGGTCCCAACTTCTCTTAGATTCCTGAGCAACTGTCTTAGATGAAATTCAGCAGAATCTGCAGGTTCTCAAAGGACAATCAGATAAAGAAAAAAAACATCTCTACTTTCAGTACTCTCTCCTCAGAGTTCTCTAAGACTTTAACAGGAAGAGTGGATACATTTAGTAGAAGCCATCACACCAACTCCTCCAGCAGAGGAACCAAGAGCAGCTTACTGATACCTAGCCCTCTGAGCATCATATGGAAAGGTAGTCTACAAGGCAAGAACATTTTTAGGTTGATTGGTCCTGCTCCTTGGTTCTCTTAAGATATTTATAGCTGGCACATTCACACTTGAGCTCCTAGACTAGAGAAGACGGTAACTGGCATACAAAGTCCTTCAGCGGAGTAACTGCTGAGCAAGCAGGGAAGTTTTGTGGAGGCTAAAGGCAAGAGTTTACTGACTCAGATCAGGGTGAGAACAAACACAGCATCATTTGGACAGTGGACACTGATGATTAGAATAATGTGATTTTAAGTGTAATGGACTTTTGTGCAGAAATGCAATGCCTATAGTTACTGACTTAATTTTTGCTTCTAACTTTGCTAAGAACACTTTCTGATTCCTTTGTTTCTTTGCATTTGTAAGAATGGTACTTACCTCTGACGATTTCCTTCCTAGCAGTAAGTATGTAGCTGTAATTTCATCATACTTCATTTTACTAAGGGATTCTTGAATTTCTTCTTGAGAATATCCCATTCCTACCATAATATCTAAAAACAAACACACATGCTGTAAGTAAGAGAAACACTCTGATGTTTAGGCTGTCTGAGAGTTTAAGTTCAACAGAAAGAATGAAAGAATTTAAATAATTAAACATTTTTAAAATTAAACAAAACAATTAAGTGTGAGAACATAAGCCTGACAAAATATCAATTTTAGAAGATTAGTCACTTTTTCCAAATGACAAACAGAGTGGTAGAGGGGAAAAAAACCCACCCACATCATGCAAACAGTATTATATTCTGAAAAACACTCAATTACCTATTCTTTTCTGGTCCGAGATGTCAAGTTCTGGTTCAACAAAAGGTTTAAGTTCATCCTCCTCATGCCCTGCATTGATCCACCTGTCCTTCATAATTTGCTATAAAAGAGAGTTTTGTTAGTACAATACACTAAGCAGCAAAGAAAACGGAGATGACTCCCCCCTTGTCCACCATGTACCAAACGCTAAGGCCTTTTCTCATTTTTCTTTACCAGAACAGGCCCCAGCACCTACTCAGTTTTGTTTTGCTCCAGTGAGGACAATCAACTATACACATCAAGCCAAGCTGCTTCCCAACCAGTTGTATTCCAGCACATAGCTAGAAACTAAAAGCCTGTAACACAGACCAGAAGCAGTGCAACAACTCTGACAAGTGTTGTTGGTCCAGGCTCAACTACGGAAGTCCATAGAAGCCAGAATTGTTTTAGCCTTTCTCCTCGATGATGGTACAAAATGCAGGCAAAAGGCAACTGCACCATAACCCAGCAGTCAGTGCTTCTAGTTCACGTTTGAAAATGTGGAAAATGTCCTGGTGGATCATCCATTAATGCAGGAATCCACAAGGTAACCATCAGAAGTTATATGACACATGCAGTGTAGTCTCACATTCATTTTGAAAGTAACTGTGAAGTCAAGTGTCTTGTAATCCCAGAAAACAAAATCTTAAAAAAACCCCCCAGAATTCATATGCTCTACTCAACAACCCCTCCCTCCCAAACCCACTCGAAATAAACTATTCAGGAAAGGTATGACAGTAATAAATTACACCTTCAAAAATTATGGTTTGCAAAATATAATGCCTAGCTTTCTAATTCACCTTATTTGTGCCATTACCTCTAGAGTGCCTCTTTTTGTTGGGTTTAGCACCAGGAAACGTTTGAGGAGGTTTTCACAGTCTGTGGACATGTAGAAAGGAATCCTGTATTTTCCCCTTAGCACTCTTTCTCTGAGTTCCTTGATAACAGAGGAAGAACAGACAAGTAAGTTGCAAGCAGCAAACCAGTTAAAACATTAGGTAAACATGCCCAACATATTCTACAAAAACACACCTTTAAGTTCTGTCCGTCGAAAGGAAGAGATCCACTCACAAGGGTATAAAGAATAACACCTAAACTCCAAACATCTACTTCAGGTCCATCATATTTTTTCCCTTGAAAAAGCTCTGGAGCAGCATATGGTGGGCTGCCACAAAAGGTGTCCAGTTTATTTCCAACTGTAAACTCATTGCTAAAACCAAAGTCAGCTATTTTTATGTTCATATCTGAATCTAGCAATAGATTTTCAGCCTGGAAGAGAAAGAATGGTTGGTAAGATGAACTTAAAATACTTGATCTAAAATGCTATTGTCTGTTTTTACTCATTCTTAAAAGGCAAAAAGATGAAATACCTGTTAATATTCCCTTCCTTGCAAGGTCTTTAGGTATGCTTTAGTCCATCATTCAAACATCATCTATTTTAGAAATCTCTATACAGTGGCTTTGAACTATGGGAGCTGTTACGCTATATGAAAACTGTGTTATTTCCATCTATCTCTTTTCTTCACAGAAACACATCCTTAGCTATTGTAACTTTGTAATTTTTAATCAATTAAGGTGAAAATGAGATACCATCTCACTACCCATACTTTATGGGGCATTCTTGCAGAAGTTTGGTAATACACATAACCTTTAAATTTTTTTCAAGTGTTTTTTGTTTGATGGTGTTTGGGGTTTGCTTTTAATTTATTTTTTTTTTAAGTTACAAAGCCATGATATATTGAATAAGTTATGTGGCAACACTATTAATACAAAAAGCACAGTTTAAAGAAGGGATATACAATTTCATGCCAAGCTACAAAGAAGTAATACTTCAGTTTCATCATCACAACTAGTAATTCATTCTGTTAAAGACCAAAACTTGTCAAGACCAAAGTTTTTTTTTTTTTTAAGGACCTCTCAGCTAGCACTGACCTACATCAGATTTGAACCTGATCAGAGGGTGAGAGGCTGTCTTTCAGCAGTTATTAAATTTCTATAACTAAAAGCCTTACAAACCATCTTTTTTTATTTTAAATGGTTCTATACTACACTGTAAACATTCCTCAAAACTTGCTGTAACACATGCAAAAAATAAATAAATCACAAAGCTTAATACACACTACATTTTATCAGTATAATAAAGATCACACCTACAGGTACAGAAACTGACACACACTCTTCTCACTTTTTCCTACTCACCTTGAGATCTCTATGAACAATATGCTTTTGATGGCAATACTGCACTGCAGATACTATCTGGATAGAAAACAAGCCAAATTATATAAGTGACATCTCAAAGAAACAGGAGTTTTAATCAAAAAGGTCAACATTTATTACTAAACTTGACTAGTACTTAACTACTCAGAGCTACATAACCAATTACTACAGTGATCAGCATATTTGCGGGAAAGCTGCTAAATACCTTTGGTGTTTGTTATTTGATCTATTTGGTTTCTACTACACTTGAAAGAGGATTTTGTTTTTCCTGTGTGGCTAATTATAGACCAGTAGAAGCAATGACTTTCAGAAAGGTTACTGAACTATTTCCATTCCAATACTGTATACAGCTACAAAAGCTTTCCCTCTAGACTGAAGTTTTCCAGTCCCTCTTCAAAGGTGATTTTTCATACCGCAGCATGGAGACAAAAGGGTAAGAAATAGGCTTAGCTACTGGAGAAACTACTGGGAAACAGCTTGTTTCCCAAAACTTACACAGTGAGAAGCAGCTGTGCATCTGACAGAGGTCTGCTGTCTAAGTGCATATGGCTTATTTTATTTTATATACTGTAGAAGGGTAGCAAGCTCAATGGAAAAAACTCTCTTATGTCTCTCAAGTGTAATGGAGTAATTTATTCCATAAGCATTTCCAAATATCATGAAGTTTTTTCCTGCTGTATATAGCAAACTATATAAGCTACTTACACAGCACAGTGTCCTAGTACATTGCTTTAGTCCTAAGCATTGCTGCAGAACACCACATGCATGGAAAAGCTGGATAAAGTCTTATTGTTCCACGATCACAAATGGGGTCAAATACATTTTATTGCCATGCATATGTGGTCAGAACTAAGGCAGAAGTTATGACTTCTTAAAAGAAGTGGAACTGCACAGAAAAATAACTTCATGTAATAACTACACTTAAATAAATATATTTCCATTCTTTGTTCAAGATTAAGAAGATTTCCAACACAGAAGGATGAGGTATCATTGAGGTTACAAGAAATAACTCATGATCAGACTGCCTAGCTTAGCATAAGCATCCTCCTGTAATGGTAAAAGGCAACGGTTCTCCTCCTCAGTATTTAGAGTAGGTGACAGTAAGCTTCTTGGTAGGTCAAAGAACTGACCTACCAGTCATTTTTGCATTCAAAACTTACACACCAGCGTTACTGTCTTTGTGCCCCTGTATTACTGAATCACGCAGGTGCAAATGCCACCTGAGAAACTAAACAGCCTACAAAAAGTTGAAATATTTCCATTCCCTGCACTTTCATTCTGTCTTCGCTTGTTCCTTTACGTACTGGCTCTCTCTGACTCAAAGTTCAGCTTTTTACAGTTACAACACTGCGAAAATTCTCCCACACCACCACTTCTACCATCCTTTTGGTTTTCCTTCCTTTCCTCTCTGCTACCGTTACTTCAGCGCTAGTCACAAGCTCACTTTGCAGGTGCTTCCAAGGCTGACAGTATAACAAATGCCTCAAGCTTTATTTGAGACTGCAGAGACACAGCACTACAGCACTCGCTCCCAAACTGTTTTTACTCTATCTAAGAGCGGAAGGTCTAGCAGATGATCAATCAATAGTTTCCTTTGGAGATGCTTTTGAATGTGTGGTGGGTTGACCCTGGTTGGATGCCAGATGCCCACCCAAACCCATTCTATCACTCCCCCTCCTCAACTGGACAGACTGAGAAAAATATAATGAAAGGCTCATGGGTCAAGATAAGAACAGAGAGAGTTCATTCACCAGTTACTGGCACGGGCAAAACAGACTCGACTTGGGGGAAAAAATGAATTTTAATTTATTACCAATCAAACAAGAGGGTAATGAGAAATAAAACAAAACCTTAAAACACCTCGCCCCACCCCTCCCTTCTTCCCGGGCTTAAT